GTCAGGTTACAGGAAATATTCAGTTCAGGTGAAAAACTTTATGAAAACAATAAATATAAAACAAATGATCAAAATTGTCCAGAAGGAACAGTGCCAATTTTAAAACAAAGAAATGTAACTGAGAGTGTTCATCCTAACACAGTCCGACATCCTCGCCAACATGTAAATTTTCTTCTTTTTAAAAAATGTTATAAAAAATGTTATAAAAAATGCAAAATATGTTATAAATAATTGACTTTGATATTTATGTGTGATATGTACAGTTTGCAGTAATGCAAACTATTTCGGATGGGAGCATCTATCGAGGAGCACAAGCTGATATAAGTCTTCATAGTGTAGATGTACGAAATAACCAGTACACTAAAAGTCAAATTTGGATGGAGAATGGACCTCGTGGTCAAGTTAATAGCATACAGTTTGGTTGGTCGGTAAGTTACTATATAACCTTATTATATCTAGTTATTTACCCATATGAATTCAATGAAAAACTCATTCAAACATAAATGTTTCATAGATTCAATAAGTATATTAATACTTGCATTTAACATCTACGCATATCTCATCATATATTTTAAAATTTTATGTAGGTGAATCCAAATTTGTATGGAGACCGTTCCACACGATTTACTATATATTGGACCGTAAGTAAATTAATAATTTCTTTAATTATATTTTCCAAGTTTGTTCGCGATCATAAATGCAAAATCAAATCACCGTTTTGTTTTTACTCTGTCTCCTTACATAATATTTTGTTATTTAAAAAAATTATTAGGCAGATAACTATAAAAGAACCGGATGCTACAATACAGTTTGTTCAGGCTTTATTATTATATCACGAAATCCTTCAATTGGAGCCATGTTTGAATCATCTACCTATGGTGGTGAAAAAACACTATATTTCAGACCGGAGGTTATTCAGGTAATTTTTTTTTTTTTAATATTCTATACATACACTAACTTTCTTTTTGTAAATTCTTTATCGATTAAGAAATTTTTTCTTTTTTAATACATGAATATAAATTTTAGGTTTTTTTAATGGGTGTTTTTGCTTCAATATATATTAGGATGGTTTTACAGGAGTTTGGGCATTACAAGTATTTGACGAAGTAATCGATTACTGGCCTAGTGAGTTATTTACTCACTTAAACAAAGGAGCTTCGTTGGTGCGATTTGGAGGAAATACAATTACATCTCCAGATGGAATTAGTCCTCCAATGGGAAATGGACATTTTCCAGTTATCGACTTTAAAAAAAGTTCAAGTTTTGTGCATATCAAAGTTATGAATTCGAAATATCAGCAAATTGATATTGAAAATAAGAGAATAAGAAGTTATGTAGATTCTAAGTGTTATATACTTAAGTATTGGGGTTACAACAACGGGAATGGGATAGCTTTCTCTTACGGAGGACCAGGTGAAAAATGTGGTATGTGATAATTGGTAGATTTTATATATGTACCGACCAAAAACGATATCATAATTTACAAAGAAAATAAAATTTAAGAATAAAGTGTTTTATATCGTGAATGAAAAAATATTGAAGGTCTTCAACAAAT